GAATTTATATATGGTGAGACAGTATATTATTTTCTTTTGTAATTCATGTACTTGAAACTTTATTAAAAAGAGTTTAATAACATTAATGGAACAATCTAAATTTATAAGATAATGTAAATAACTAAAGATGAGTGTTATTACAGGGACAAAATATGGAAGATATCTCAAACATTATGAGTACTAATATAAACAGGTAAGAGGTACGCAACGATTGTTTCTTAAATAAATATTATTTTCCATGATATAGAACAATTAAAACAAAGATGAACAATTCATTTACGTCACATAAGATTGTTTCCAGGTTTTTTACATAGTGACAAACATTTATCATACACAATAATAGAACTATAGAATTATTATATGAAAAAATATATCATATATAAAATGGCTTCTACTGTAGGAAAGATTTTATACATTCGCATGAAACATAACGGTGCAGATATGGACATCTAAAGGTAGTCATAGAAGAATAGATGTTTGACTGCAGTTATACATTTATAGGATGAGCAATTCAAAGCAAATAGGTAGGTATAGTGATATAAATATAAAGATCAATATATAGATTTTTGTATGAACAGTTACTTTTCCTGCAATAACAACGGGTACATGAGACAACAGTTAATATGATTTCGGGATTTGATTAATATAAAAGGATCGGTTGCGTTTAATTGAATCGGACTCTTTAGTGAGAAGCTGAGCTGAGTTTTATAAAAAAAAGGAGAATATATTCAAGGCATATACATCATATTCCTGTATCTAAAAGATATGATACATGTTTGAGTATCATTCAAAAGAAAAACAATATAAATACAAAGTACTTCAGCGAAGTAGTTCAAATAGAAACTCGTAACTATTATATTCATTCGGTACATAAAATAAAAAAATTTACGATGTACTCGCGGTTCATACTTACTTGATCATAAAACTAAAACATAAACGAGATATTTCAGGTGGATCTGATTCATTTCTATCATTGGAATAGTCATATATGATAATTCAACAACAGTTGACAGTATCTATATATTTTTTTTAGTTTAGAACTGATCATTTTATCCACTATCGAGAATGACTAAATTCGAAATTCATTTTTATGATTATATCATAAACGGGAAATAAATATCTAATTAAGATCTCAAATTTTATGCCATCATTCAAAACTTAACATAAATTGCTGTACGTAAAATTTCATTTTGGAAAACTCAATTAATCATTACATTGAAAAATAGAATATTTTTAAAGTTATTTTCAGCGACATCTGATTCTTAGTCCTATCTATTGGCCATGGAAAAGAACTGATCTATAAAAAGTAGTGAACATATCCATCTTTCTTTTTCTTTTCAAATTTTCCTTCATTGTTATTCGATCTATGGCAACTCAAAGTGATACCACAGCTACTTCAGCTAGTAAAGATACCATTTCCAATAATACTAACTATATATCATCTAGTGAGTTAATTGATTTTAAAATCAACCGTTTTCTCTTATTAGAATAAATATCTTCATTTTAAGATTTAGATCTTGATCAACAAACACAACAACAACAGAATGAAATAGAAAAAGAAGTAAATATCGATAGAAATATTTTTATATCGAACTCATTTTTACTATTAGATTGCTGATCATCAACCATTAATAAGTCATCTAATTGAAACAACTGAATTAAAAAAGGAATATCTATCAGAAGATCATATTTATCAAGATAAAGTATCTGTAAGTTGAATTATCTGAAATAAAATTTAATTTAAACAAAAAAAAATAGGAATTAATAAAAAAATATAAATATATTCGACGAACACGTGGTGATGGAAATTGTTTTTATCGTGCATTTGGTTTTGGTTATCTTGAAGCAAATATAAATAATCCAACAGAACTTGATAGATTTCGTCAATTAACTTATGATTTAAAAGATAAACTTGTTCAATTAGGTTATTTAGATTTTACTGTTGAAGATGTTAGAGATGTGGTATGTTATATTTTATAAATTAAAGAATAGATTTCTACTTTAACTTGTTTGATTTAGGTTGTTGAAATAATCGATAATTTACGTAAAAATGGAAGTGAAGCGAGTTTAATGGAAACTTTTTGTTCAGTACCACATTCAGAATATTTTGTTGCTTATTTACGGTAAGATATCATTTTGAGTTATAAAGTTTTAAATCAATTAGTTAGGATTATATGAGTCAATACTTGAAAGTAGGAAAAATATTATTAGTTTTTTTTCCCTTTTTGCTTCGAGTTATATACCTTTATATTAAGAAAAATCATTGGGTTATTTATGATGAAGAAATATTTTCAATTAATAAATCGAAAACAATTTATTAACAAATGTCAATTGTTTTTTCGGTTATTCTCCGCGAATTTTTTGTTTGATTGATATGAGTCATATTATAATTTATTTAAGAATAATGAAATCTAGATATTGTGTGAACAAATGACTGGCGAATCTTTTATGAATAGTAGAGGCTATTCCGAAGTGATCTTGTGTCTTTCATAAAATACAAAGAAATTCTTTCTTCTATAGGTTATTTACATCGGCTTACTTACAAATGAATGCTGATTTCTTTGAAAATTTTATCGATGATGGTAAAACAATAAAACAGTTTTGTAGTAGTGTATGTAAATTTCTATTATTAATTCAATTATCTATCTTTTATAATTAAAGGAAGTTGAACCAATGACACGTGAATCTGATAATATTCATATAACTGCTTTAGCTAAAGCAGCAGCTGTTCCTTTACGTGTTATATATATGGATCGAAGTGAACACTCATTATTGACAACACATGATTTTTCAGCCACTGATGACGAAAATCCAAATACGTTTAAACCAATGATTACAATGCTCTATCGACC